CCATAAGGATTAAAAGCCACCATGATCGTGGTGGGGGTTTCCATTCAATTAGGGATTGGGGAGAAGGGTCATCATGACATTTTGGTAGAGTTTTTCAATTCCAACAGAACAAGACCTTCTCACGAGCATTACAAAACGAATGTTGATAGTTTGAGCACGCCCGAGAGCAAATTTGTTCCCATAACTCAGTGGACCATTTTCACGCAATCACCACCAAAAAATGAACATGCGTAGGTTTCGTAAAGCATTATTGGTTAATATGATCCATTTTCATAGTTTAACGAGTTAACCACAAATAGAGAATTTTATGTAAGAATTAACTATAGTTAACTAGTTAGTTAACTATATATTTTATAAAAGGGGTTTCAATATTTTGGGCAACTTCTCAAATTCTGCAAGTGGCCCGCATATTTTGAGTGCGTCATTCCGCTACTTCGACCCCGTTGTCTTGATGGTTGCAGTTCCTGTAGAACCGGTGCAGAATTCATTCCCGCCTCGAATCTATATATAGGCATTTGTGATCAAATAAATAGAAACATAGAGCAGCAGAAATGAACACTCTGGAAATTTCCACGAGTATTAGCCGTCCTTTCCAAGCTTTCCATTCATTTCCGAGCACGGGTAAGTTGTAGCCACGGCGCGTGCGCCTCTAGATGTCCTGGGTCTTAAAAGTCTCGGCATAGATCACAGGCTCATGGCCTATGGGCTGTGCTCCAGCTATCTTCAGAGCTCAGATACAGTTGTCATTGCTTCTCCTTCTCCTTCTGTGTTGAATCTTCTTAGTTAAATACCGGTCAATTTCTAGGCTGGAAATATCATTTTTCATGTATTGCATTCACCATCAACAAAAAGTTCACACGCTCTTCTCATTGTAATAGTTCCAGTTTAGATCTTTCATATTAGAACTAGTTAGTCTAGATATTCTTATGAGGAAACAGGTGTAAAACATGCAAATCTTGTGGAAGGCTTTACCACTACGCCAAAAGGATCAATCCTCAAGATATATATATGTACGTATATGCATGATTCACACCAGGTAATGGACTTTACAGGGTTGAGAATATGGAACGCCCCTTTGAGGTCCAGGCCTAACGGCCGTCGTTGGGTGTTCCATTTCGATGATGAGACATTTCAAATATCTGGCTACCGTAGAATCTGCTTGCATATAGCAGAGAGAAAGTATAAAAGTAATAATATCGATTGGGCATGTACCCAAAGGGGATGGTCGTGGGAGTATATTCATCAGTAGCAAAGGCTTCAAAAAATGTACTGTAGGCCCTGTGTTGCACTGATATCTACCATTATCTGGTTAGAAGCCAAGATGCTACCTGTGCGAACTCATTTAGGCAAATCCTTAAATGGTTAAGGGTTGACCGTGATTCCGTCCCTTTTTCTTCGGTATTGACAGTCCATAAGGATGGGGTTTATAGCTGATCCGATATACGTCGGCCGCAATCCAAGGCGGGACCATTCTGTATCTTCCGACATGGCGCCAGAGACACCAAGCGATGTTATTCTAGTCTAGCATGGACGAGGACAGAAACCGTGCAGAGGCAGATATAAGCTTAGATATAGGTGTCATGCATTAGGTTAGCTGGCAGGGGAGGAATTTTGAAGCCGTTTGACCTGGCATACCGATTGAAATGATAAAAAGTATATCTTGCTGGCAAGAGATGGCAAATCACGTGATACAGGCCACAGCGGTTGCCAACTTTGGAAGCTGGACACGATAATACCGTTATCTCGGCGACTCTAGAATTTGAATTTTTTTTTTTTCTTTTTTTTTTTCCGCAACACATGTCTGCAGCGGTTGCCCCGCTTGTTCGGATAATCTCCATCCAATCATTACCTAGTATACTCATGACAAGCCATGGAACTAACCACAGGGGCTCAGCCCCGCTTATTACAGCCAACCAAAGTATCCAGCCTTCTGGGGGCGAGGCAACAAGTAACGTATTTTTCTGCCACCCCAATTCATGACCGCT